AGGCCTGGCCCCAAGGCTCCCTCCCTCCCTCCCTCCCTGAAAGGCCAAAAGAGGCCTGGAAAGGGCCCTTCCCCCACCCTTTGACTGACAGAGCCAGTTAGAAGCGCCCCCCCCCCAAACGTTCTAATCTCTCACCATTGATGCCTGAAGCAGATCCCTGCAGAGGCCATTTCAAAAGGTTTTTGGGGGAATTCAGCCGTCCCTGAAGGGATTTTTTTAGTTTTTTTATTTTTCTTCAAACCCAGGGAGTCTACTGACTATGTAGGAAAAGCTGTTGTGGGAGAGTGAGCCCCCTGTTGGTGGAAATAAGTATCCGCACAGGGATCAGTTCTGCTTCGGGAAGTGAAGGCCATACCACCCTGACTACACTTCCCAGGAGCCCTGAGGGAAAAGAAGGACACGCCCCAGGGGCAGGGCCAAGGAGATATAGGTTTTGGCTCCTGAGGAGGGAGTTCAGTCTCAGCCTAATCTTCAGCCTTTAAGAACATGAGAACATAAGAGATGCCAATATTGGATCAGGCCAAAGGCCCATCCAATCCAACACTCTGTGTCACACAGTGGCCAGAAATACCAGGTGCCCTCAGGAGGTCCAGCAGTGGGGCCAGGACACTAGGAGCCCTCCCACTGTTGACCCCCCCCCCCAAGCGCCAAGAAGACAGAGCATCACTTGCCCCATAGTCCCTATCTATACCTTGTGGCTAATATCCACTGATGGACCTCTGCTCCATATGCTTATCTCATTCCCTCTTGAAGCCGTCCATGCTTGTAGCCGCCACCACTTCCTGTGGCAGTGAATTCCATGTGTCAATCACTCTTTGGGTGAAGAAGGACTTCCTTTTATCCATTCTAACCCGACCGCTCAGCATTTTACATGGAGTGCCCACAAGGAGTTCTTGTATGATGAGAAAGGGAGTGAAGTACCTCTTTCTATACCTGCTCTTTCCCATGCATAACCTTATAAACCTCAATCATGTCACCCCTCAGCCATCGTTTCTCCAAGCTAAAGAGCCCTAAGCGCTTTAACCTTTTCTCATAGGGAAAGTTGTTCCAACCATTGATTTATATAGGGGCATTAAGATGTTGGCTGATCTGTTTTCAGTACCCTTCCTAATAATCCCTAGGGTCAGTGATGTAGCTCCCTCTTTTGATCCAACATTGGCTTCTCGATACTCTACTATGTTCTTAGAGGTTCCTTTCTCCATTTTGTTGCAATCAGGAATGGCCCAAGAGAAGACGGAGATGGAAGAGCAGGACCCAGAAGGACCGGGAACCGGCAAGAAACCAAGGAAAGGCCCCCATCCCCTCCAGGCGGGGAGTGGTGGTGGATTCTGGGGAGGAGCGGTGCCAGAGGTCGTGCATGAAGACATGGGGATCTCAGATGAACATCGCCAGCATTTCCGGCAGTTCCGCTACCAGGAGGCTGCTGGGCCCCGAGAGGTTTGCAGCCAGCTCCACGGACTTTGCAGCCACTGGCTGGAGCCGGAGAGGCACACCAAGAAGCAGATTGTGGACCTGGTGATCCTGGAGCAGTTCCTGACTCTCCTGCCCCAGGAAATGCAGTGCTGGGTGAGAGGATGCGGGACGGAGACCAGTTCCCAGGCGGTAGCCCTGGCCGAAGTCTTCCTCCTGAGTCAGGCCAAGGAGGAGAGGCAGGCGGAAGAGGTGAGGGAGCTTCATGTGGTCCATTCAAGGTGCGATCTCTAACCTTAGCCTGAGGCTTCCCTGCCCACTACGTATTCCTCCGGACACTTGATCGGGGCTGTAACGGCATGTCCATAAATAATAAGACCTCAGCCCTGCGGGATTTCCCGTTAGAGCACGGAGCGGACCTGGCGTGCGTGACCAAGACTATGGTGCAAGATGGGGAGGCAATAGCTCTCTCCCCGTTGGCTCCGCCCTGGTTCTTGGTCCTCCACCAATCTCGGACTAAGGGGCGGGGTGTGTGGCTGTATTCATCTGGGAGGCTTACTCCTTCAGGGCACTCCCGCCGGTGAAGCTCACAGGCATTGAGTTCCTGGGCCTAGAATGGGAAGCCAGGGAGAGTTGGGCTGTTTGGCTAGTGTACCAGCCTCCGAACGCACCACCCAACAGCCTGTCATCCCTGGTGGAGGCTGTGTTGGGCTGGGCATTAAAGTACCCTAGGCTGATAGTCTTGGGCGACTTCAGTGTCCATGCCAACGATGCAGCCTCTATCCCGGCGATGGACCTGGTGTCGTCCATGGAGGCGCTGGGACTCACCCAACATATAATGGCCCCTACACATCGGGCCAGGCACATGCTCAATCTGATCTTCACTGCGGGGGTTACAGTGGACTGGATCACTGCTCTGGTAGTTCCCTGGTCGGACCACCATGCCCTGAAGGCCCGTCTGAATGTTCCACCCTGACCCTGTTTGGGAGGCGATCTTGTATTTTGGCTTTTCTGCGGAGCCAAATGGACCCTCTGCGGCTTCAGATGGCTCTGCAGGATCCCATGCCCCCAGGCGGTTGGTTAGATGAGCTAGTTGGGGACTGGCACGGTCAACAATCAGGAGCCACCAAAGCGATCGCTCCCTGACGTCCTCTGCGCCCTCGCTCTAAGCGAGCCCCTTGGTTTACTGAGGGGCTCCGGCCTATGAAATGGGGACTTAGACGGCTCTAGGGAGACGGTGGCGGCGCACTCGCAATGAGGCAACCAGAGCATCTTATAGGACGTTTATGAGATCCTATGAGGTGGCAACCAAAGCCACGAAGAGACAATTCTACGCGGCTGCGCTTGCGGCTGCTAGCTCATGCCCGGCGCTTCGTGACGTGGCAGGCTGCATTAGACTGAGCCGATTGAAATTGAATCCAACGAAGACGGAGGTCCCGTGCCTGAGTTGGAGCTGGTCGGGGGTAGGGATATCACTATCGACCTTGGACGGGGCACCTTTGGTGCCAGCGCCAAGGGTCAGGAGTTTGGGAGTGCTCCTGGATGCCGCTTTAACAATGGAGGCCCAGGTAGCAGCCACAGCCAAGGCAGCTTTTTACCATCTGTGGCTGATTAGGCAGTTGGTTCCCTTCCTTGAATGCAGTGACCTGGCAACAGTGATCCATGCTGTGGTCACCTTGAGATTAGACTACTGCAACGCTCTCTACATGGGGCTGCCCTTGTCTCAAATCCGGAAGCTGCAGGTGGTGCAAAATGCAGCAGCCAGGCTGTTGATGGGTCTCTCTATATGAGATCACATCCAGCCTGTGGTGAAGTCTCTGCACTCGCTGCCAATAGCATACTGGATTTGTTTCAAGGTGCTGGTCTTGACCTTTAAAGCCCTATATGGTCGGGGGCCTGCCTACCTGAGGGACCGCCTTTCCCCATATGTGCCCCGGAGAGCACTGAGCTCAGGCTCACAGAACCGCCTGACTCTCCCTGGTCTGAGAGACACCAGATTGGCTATTACTAGAGCCAGGGCCTTTTCAGTGGTGGCTCCACACTGGTGGAATGAGCTCCCGGAGAACATCAGGGCACTGCGCAGAGCCTGTAAAATGGAGGTCTTCCACCAGGCCTTCAATTAGGACCTGCCACTTAAAAATGAGTCATCGGAACATGTTGTGGCCCTTATTTGGGTCAGTCCGTCCAGTCCCACATCTGTTCACACATCTGTTCACACAGATGGCCCAAGAGAAGGGGACGGAGATGGAAGAGCAGGAACCAGAAGGACCGGGAACCTGCAAGAAACCAAGGAAAGGCCTCCATCCCCTCCAGGCGGGGAGTGGTGGTGGATTCTGGGGAGGAGCGGTGCCAGAGGTCCTGCATCAAGACACGGGGATCTCAGATGAACATCGCCAGCCTTTCCGGCAGTTCCGCTACCAGGAGGCCGCTGGGCCCCAAGAGGTTTGCAGCCAGCTCAACAGACTTTGCAGCCACTGGCTGGAGCCGGAGAGGCACACCAAGAAGCAGATTGTGGACCTGGTGATCCTGGAGCAGTTCCTGACTCTCCTGCCCCAGGAAATGCAGGGCTGGGTGAGGGGATGCGGGCCGGAGACCAGTTCCCAGGCGGTGGCCCTGGCCGAAGGCTTCCTCCTGAGTCAGGCCGAGGGGGAGAGGCAGGCGGAAGAGGTGAGGGAGCTTCATACGGTCCATTCGAGGTGCGGTCTCCGACCTCAGCCTGAGGCCTCCCTGCCCAAAACGTATGCCTCCAGATACTTGACCGGGGCCGATGTAAAACAGCAACCCGGATTCTGGCCACTGCGGTTGAAGCAGCTCTGTCGGTGGAGGCAGGGCTGAGGGTGGAGATGGGGCGAGATGTGTCTCCCTTGGTCTTTAGCATCCCGCCTCCCACCTGTCTCTCTTACTGCTGTTTCAGAAGTGGGGACCGTCTGTGGAGATGGAGGTGAAGCCCTCTGAGGAGGAAGAAGGGTCTCCTCTGGAGGAAGAGCAGAAGGCGAGGGGCCAGGAGCGTGCCCAAGATGCCCTCTCACGTGGTAAGGGTGCCTTGTGCCCAGATCTGGGCAGATTGTGCAGTCTTTGGATAGAAGATTCAGGAAATAGTTCTGCACACACCGCAGAAGGGTAAACTTCTGGGTCTCAGGTCCACAGGACGTGACGGTGGCCACTCACCCGAAGGGGGAATCATACAGATTCATAGAGGGCAGTTCCATTCTCATTAGAACGGCAGCAGGATTATAAGCGATACTAGGCCATGGCTGTCCTTCTGTGTTCTTGTATATTAGTTTGAATTAGCTTATACCTCTCTGTTAGGTTATTTCTCCCATAAGCCTTTCCTCTTTTTGCTGGCACCCTAGGCATAAAAACCACAGCCTTTCCATGAAGATGTACCTTTGCCCAAATTCATATTTGACACCTCCCACCCTCCAGGTGCCAGGCTCCGAAGCCTAAACATGTATGGATCAGATGTACGGGAGGTGCCAAATCAGTCCAGGCCTTTTTGACATTGCAGCTAATAAAATATATCTGGACAAAAGTTCATACGAGCCAAAGTTCATATTATCAACTTAAGACGGGCTGGTCTGGTGTTCGTCAAGTCTGGTACATTCTTGACTTACAGCTCCATTAGTTCCCATAGGCTGAAAAGAGTATAAATATGGGACTTCTGGCTCTGTTCGGGGCTGCTTGGTCAACACCCCACCTGTGACTGTGGAAGTCCTTTTTTATTATTGAAATTTTATTAATTTATATAAAGAAAGGGGAAAAGAAGGAAGGGGGGAAAGGACGGAGATATAAAGAATTTCAATGTATCGTTCTGTATGCATATCTTCCCCTTACAATTTCATGACTATTTCATCTGTCATTCTCTTTATTCTTCACTTAATCTTATTCTCTCAGTACTTGAGTATTAACCAATCATGAAACGCCCTTCAAGGCCTCATAAATCCATCTTCCACTTTTCCTTTTAAAATGTTTCTCAACTTGTCCATTTCAGCACATTCCGTAATGTTCAATATCAGCTCATGCAGCGTAGGAATCTTCAGGGTCCTCCATGTCTTCGCAAGTGAGAGTCTAGCACCGGTGTTTCTGTGTTTCTCTTGGTCTTGCAGCCCAGGAATAGATTTCGTACCGTAATTGTTTAATCTTGGCTTTGTGCCCTAATTGTTAGTCGCCCTGAGCCCGTTTTGGGGAGGGTGAGATAGAAAATGAACAATAAGTAATAATTAAATAAATAAGTGAAATTCCTTGTTATTTCTAAAGTGTACATTTCATCAGGAGTTGGGATTTTCTGGATGCTACTGAGTATTGAAATTGTTAGTATGCCATCTGAACTGTCACTAGCACTTTAATTGTTCACTGTTTGATTGTTATAATGTTTAATGTTGATGTTTGTAAGTGGTTTTAAGTTTTGTATGTGGTTTTTAGGGTACAGGAAAGCAATCAATGTAAGCCGCCCTAAGCCTGCTCACGGGGAGGGTGGGGCATAAATTGAAATAATAGATAAATAGATAAAGTGAATATATGCTACTGAGTATTACTCATGTGCGGTTTTAAGAAAAAGTAGAAGATAAGAGATTGGATTTACACCCTGCCCTTCACTACCCAAAGGTGTCTCAGAGCGGCTTACAAACTCCTTTCCCTTCCCCTCCCCACAACAGACACCCTGGGAGGTTGGTGGGGCTGAGAGAGCTCTTGACAGAAACTGCTCTTTTCCAAGGACAGCTCTTATCAGAACTACAGCTTGCCCAAGGTCACCCAGCCAGGTGCGAGCGGAGGAATGGGGGAATCCCGGTTCTCCCGGATTAGAGTCCCCGCACTTAACCACAACACCAAATCAATACATAGCTTTTGTTCACAGCAACGTCTCCCCCCTCTATCCCTGGTGAAGCCTGCGTTCCCTAGCCAGTCTCTAACGCCCATAGAAAAGTACCCTAATGGAGTTGGGGATCCCAGGCAGAGACCCTAACCTCTAAAATGCCCGAACAAAAACATAAGAACATCACAGAAGCCAATGTTGGATCTGGCCAGTGGCCCCTCCAGTCCAAAAGTCTTTGTCACACAGTGGCCCAAACCCAGGGGCCACCAACAAGGCCAGAGCTCCTAAACCCCTCCCACTGTTGCCCTGGACTCAGTATCATGTGGGAGGGCCCCGTCACTGAAACAATGGCACGCCTGGGACTTTGGCCTGATCGAGCAGGGATGCTGCCACAGTTTTGAGCCCTGGAGTTCACAGGATAAGTGTCGATGGTCACAAAAGTCTGGACTGTGTCATCAGTGTTTATACCACCCCCTGCCCCCGAAGGTTTTTTTTAGGAATCTAGTGCTTCTCTTCCATATCTCACACATTTTTTCGTAGTATACACAGGGCAAGGTTTCACAGCCGTCCAAACAGGGGTGCATAAAGCAGGATTCAGACAACCAAACAAAATATGAAGCCTGGGCTAAAACCCTTTCTTCTGATGTTCTCTCCTTCACAGGCAGTGAAGAGACAGTGTCGAGCTGTCGTCGTATTTGCAGAGGAGTGGAAACGGCTGCGGCCCCAGCTGCCCAGGTAGGGAAGACAAGGAGGGGACCGCCTGAGTTCCCCCTCCTTTCTCAGGGGGGCTTCTGCTCCTGCAGTGGCTTCTAAGGGGTCCGAGCAAGAAAGGCTCTGCACGCCGCTCCCTTGACCCCTGCCAAGCGCTCCATCCTGGGCACTCCCGGCATGCCCCTTTTCCAGAGGGCAGTCTTGCCTGGCACAGCCTCTGGTGAGGAAATCTGCTTCTTCTTTCAGTCTCTAGCTTCCTTTGAGGACGTGGCCGTCTATTTCACTGTGGCAGAGTGGGCCCTGCTGGATCTGGGCCAAAGAGCTCTCTACCGGGAAGTCATGCTGGAGAACTATGGGAACGTGGCCTCTCTGGGTAAGGACCTTCCGTAGTCACCAAAGGTGTGAATTGCTGCCATTGCGACGATGTATGAATCAGAATATGGAACAGCTTGGCCCTGTACTCACCCCCTCTGGAGCAGCCCACACACCTGGCTGGTCCAGGGGCAACTGCGGCCAATGTTGTGTCCAGCGTGAGAGTCACGGCCTGAGGAGGAAACAGACAAGGGCCTTGTGTCCCTCGTCCTACTCTCTCTCTCTCTCTCTCTCTCTCTCTCCCCACCTCCAAAGAGGATCTCAATATTTCCTTCCCGAGTGAGATGCCTACGAGTGAGTCTGCTTCATCCTTATGTCAAGGGAAGGGGCACAGAATAGCTATGTAGGATTTCTGCTTCAACTCTTAGGAACTCTTAGTTGGGTAGAATGATAGAGCCTTCTGGATAAAGAGAAAGGGAGGCATTTGGGGGCCAGAAATTTTGGAAAATCTTCCTGGGGCTGAGCTCGGTTGTTGCTCTTTTAGTCCCTTGAGGGGCTGCATTGCCCTTAAATACTGGATATTCCAGGGAGAGGTGAGGTATTTACTTAAGAACAGCTTTGCTGGATGACTTAGATGCCCGTCAACCTTTTCCTACCCTTTTCCGACCTTCCCCTCCTTCCGCCAACAACTGGCATTCCTACGGGGCTTCCCTTAGAACTGTGGGGTTCGCTTTAGGAAACCCTCTCTACAGTCACAGGACTAGAAATTACAAACACTTGTTGTACTTCATCCTGAAAAGACTTGCTTGGCAAGGCAAATGGGAAGGGCAATGGAAGAGATATTTACCACCTTTTGCATTAAAGTACACCTGGAGAGATTTGGGGAGGGGAGGGACAGCCAGAATATAGAAAAATCCCTACTGGAGGGCTGCCAGGGAAATGTTACGACCAGGG